GGTTTTTTTTTAAAATTATATCGTGATTAACAACTAAAATGCTGAGGTGTTTAATCCTCAATACCCATTATTTACTTGAAACTCTAAATAATAATATGTCAGACAATGTATAAATACATGGGCAAGTCTGCGAGTGAAAGCTTATAATATATACAGACAAAAAATCAATTACAGTTATAGAGCAATGGCCTTCGAGCATGTACTTGATATTTCTTCAAGAAATCGCCAGCAAAATGAAATCTGGCTATGCAAAAAGTGAACACAATAAGGATTGACAAATATTGCGTGTCCATAGGCAAAACAAATAAAAAACTTTCGAAAAGACCCCGACTTGTATAACACAATAAACCAAAATAAAGTAAGTATTCATTCGAAGTTGATATTTATTTGAAGCTTTAATATTAGTGATGTTTTTTAGCGTCTGTAATCTTTAGGAAAGATAAAAACGAGACAGATTATTGATTCCATTTGAGGGGACAATATTTTATTGGCAAAGCTTGTGTGCTTAACCTCGGTTTTTTAGTAATTTTTTTTAAAATGATTAATAAATATAATAAATTATTTGGCTTTTCAATAGTGAAATGTGTATCGAGTATTGTCGTTATGTTCAGAGATGGTCTCATGACATCAGAGACAGGAGACAGGCTTTGAATCAATTAACAAAATTTGCTGTAGTTGGTTTCAATAGTGCATTTAGCAATATTGTTTTAGAGATGCCGATGGCAAATATTTTTTTTCTCGTTGCAATCGGCTCAATATCCCAACTTTACCCTAAACATAAGATTAGCAATAGAGCTATTTAGAATAACAAATAGATTCACCGGTGCCACCTAAGTCTCAAACATTCAACCATCGAGGGAAAAGTAGTTATCACTTTTCATCTCGCTTTTCATTAAGTATTTTTTTGTGACTACTTTTTTTTGGGTCGGCCCAACTTACGGTCCCGCGGCTCCGACTTACATGGCTGCAGTAGGCCTGGTGTTCCGTATCGTGTGCTCTGAGTGATCCCAGGATGACTGCTTTCTGCATCGTGCCAGCAAGGTGTTCTGCTTTATCACGGCAGATTGTCAAGGTCTTGAGAGCTGAGAGCAGTGTTTGTCGTGCACCTCCGAGAGCCCAAATTATTAAAACCACTAGCTTGACGGTAAAGGCCCGGTACATTCGGCGAAGGTCAAAGAGATGATCCGGATATTTCATCCGTTTCTCTTCCTCCTTGGCAATGATGTTCGCAGCTTTATGTCGATGGATATACGCCGAAACCGCATACCATCCGCAAGCAGACAGCAAATGATATAAGGTCTCCGGCGCCCTATGGCAGGCCCTCCAAGCTTCTTACGCGACTCGTGTACAAGCGGATACTCCAAGCCATGGGTTCAGTATTTCGTAGAGTATACGAGCAGCGAGGGTCAAAGAAGGGTGTAGCAGGCTGCAAGGAGAACTTACTAATAGACCGATGTGTCACACAGGACTTCTTCCAGTACAAACGAAACCTTCTGATGACCTGGATAGATTACCGCAAGGCCTTCGGTACAACTTCTCATGAACTTATTATCCACCTTTTGAGAAGCCTTGCGTGCGGTGCCATATCCCGTAGCGAGATGCATTTCAGGAATGATGGAAGTACCGATTTACAATGAGTACCGGTACCTACCACAAAGGTGTCGACTGAATTGGTATCATTCCGCCGGGGAGTATTTCAGGGCGATTTACTTAGCCCACTCCTCCGGAAGTAGCGAGACACAATCGCTACTTCCGCTGTCCGTTGCTTTGCGGAACACAAAGGGATACATGTGCGGTTCTCCCTGCCGTAGAACACATAGGGCTGCACACGTCTTCTATATGGATGACCTCAAGTTCTACGCGTCGACGAAGAGAGATTTCGACCAAGGTATTTGGGTATTACAGGAGTATACTCATGCGATCAGGATGGAGTTCGGGTTGGATAAGTGTGCGACGGTTCAACATCCTATGACATCTGGACGCCGGAGAGACCTATACCTACTTGGGTGTTCCTCAAGGATACATCCAGGATAGTGTCGCAATAAAAAGGTCTATCCGCGACAAGTATCAGCAACCATTGAGACAGATCTGGAATTCAGAGCTATCTGGAGAGAACAAAGTCGCTGCTACAAATATGCATGCCGTTCCACTACTTACTTTACTCCTTTGGAGCGATAAAGTGGAATGTGAATGGGTTGCGTGAAATTGACGCGAAAAACCCGCAAGATGATGACGCGATGCCGAAGCCGTCATCCTAAAGGAGTCTATCCATCGGATTTACTTCCCATGTTATCAGGGAGGCCATGGACTCTTAAGTTTGTAGTGTCGGTTCGACCTAAGTACCGAGTGCGGAGTAATCAAAGACGAGGATCCTCTGCTATGCATGGTGCGTCATGAAACATTTGGGGTGTAGGCATTTCTTTTTAAAGCTGCACAAAGGGCGGCGGATGAGCTCCGAATTAGTGATTTCCATGAGACCAACGAGACGAGACTTTCATAAAGTCTTGTCTCGTCTCGCCGATAAATAAAAAGTCTTGTCTCGAGTCTCGTCTCGCAACCTCAAGTCTCGTACGAGAGTCTCGCAAATGTCTCGGAGTCTCGTCATGCATAATCTTGTTTCAGTTAAGAGTCTATAGTTGAACCAAATCCAAGCGGCAGTAATGGCATAACTGGTCATTTTCATTACAACCTATGAAATGTTCTCCGTGCATGCGCACTGGTCCAGGTAGGGGTGGTAGGGCGTCTCAACCAATAGAAAGTCTGGATTACCAACACAATTTAGGTTATTTAATGAGGAAGTTGCATTAAATTTTATTTTGATGGAAAATGTATTTAAAGTGGAGCAAAATACTCAAGAAGTATATTTCTATATTTAAATCCTCTTTAAACTGAACCCCTAATAACTAATTAATTATTCAAGTATTCAATAACAATGGGCGCGAAAATGCTCTAAAATTGGTTATGACGTCATCGAACGATAAATAAACAAAAGTGTGGTTATGTTAACGTGAAGCGTAAGCCGTCAGACGCTTGTATTTACATCGAATTCTACCGATGGATCCACCATTGTATGACGGTCATTATCATTTTCCATTCACTAAACAAAGATAGCTAACTCATTGGTGAAGCCACCGATTAAAATAAAAACGAGTGGAAACTTGACAACAAAATAAACCACACATGTAAATCGTACAAACAATGACATAAAACACAATTGACAATGGATAAGACAGGGAGGGAGTAGTGGCTCGTTTTGACGCTTGGAAGGATATCGTCTTGTGACGTAATTGATTTACGACTGCGTTTTGGCGCGAAGAGAATTATTTTGAATTTCTATATTTTTTTACAGAAAATCTATTAGTTGAAAATCTAAAATTTATGTGGCAAGCACTTTTTATAATGGGAAGAATTTAATAAGAGAATAAGAAAAAAAATTGCAAATTCCTCATTGTCATTACTGCCGCTTGGATTTGGTTCAACCATAGTACAGGATACTTACCTATTTGCTATAATTTTAAATTAGAAAAAGAAACTCACAACTGTTGAAAAATAAGATTATGTATTTAAAATTCGTCACTGAAAAGCGACTCTACCCTGTATTCCTTTTACCCGTTGAGTTACTCGGAGCGGCTCAATGTGAAAAGATTGAACGTTTCTTTTAAAAGTGCGTTAAGCACTCGACTCGCTCATAGTGCATCCCCCTTTTTCCTGATTCATCAAATTTGCCGGGGTGCAAGAAGCCCTTTTAGGTAATATTAGTTAATATTAAATAATAATGATAACATCCGAATTGTATGTTTTGGAGTTACTCCGAGGAGCTCTAGAGCGACAGGTTCGGTGTAACTCAATGTATAAAAGGAATACAGTATTATGATGTATCATCTCCTGTTATTTTTAGTTGTGTTATAGCTCAAAGTCTATACCTGTCTCTATTTTTACGCGTAGAATAAGTGACAGATAACTTAACGTTGCTGTTAAAATAACAGAAAATTATAAATCATAGGCCTGGGGGGCTTTATTTGAAATTGATGCAACTTTGCGTACACGCAAATAACGTCATTTGTGATTGAAAATTGGTGCACGGCTTATTTGACATGTACTTTTTCATTCGCATCTGACGTCATTTGCGTCATTTTTGCGTGTTCGCCAAGTTGCATCAATTTCAAATAAACCCCCCCAGGATGGCGGTAATTTTAACGCACCTAATTATAAAATATTGCGTCATGTGAAAACATAAAATAAAAAATATTTTGTAAAAATATAAAATATTCGCCCACCGTTATATACGCCACTGCCAACAGAGTTCTGATGGGAAAGGTAGGCAATGAAACGGGGGAAGCGGTTTCGCGAAAGTCCGGCTGCTGCATATATTTACATTATATGTGTTCTTTGTCTGCACGTAGAAATATTCACCTGCGAGACTTTTGCACGAGACACGAGACTCTCGCACGAGACTCGAGACGAGACCAATAAAAGTCTCGTCTTATCCGAGACAGTCCGAGTCTCGTCTCGAGTCTCGTCTCGAAAACGAGACGAGACCATGCGAAACTCTCGAAAACGAGACTCTCGTGGAAATCACTACTCCAAATAGTATCCGACAAGAGTCGGCGGCAGGACAACTCTATTACAGAGTTTACCAGCCAAAGACCTTGAAGAATGCACAGTGTTTTCTTTAAAACCATTGAAAATACTGATGGCTTATCCAAAAAGCTAAGTCTTGCATTTTTGAGGTCTGGTGCATTAAAGTCGGAAACTGCGGGATTTATCATTGGTTGCCAATATGGAATCATGAACACTTTGGTACACCGGAATCGCGTGGTAGGTGTAAAGATTATATAATTATTATTATTTTGGTTATTATCCATATAAAGGTCGTAATTAGTTCGTCTAAATGTTTCCTGGAAGAAACTCCAATCCCAGTTTTTTTAGCACTAAACTTGTAGGTGACGCAGAAAAAAATATTTGAAATTTGTTTAAAATAATGACTAAAACACTCAAATAAATTCTTCAAAATTAAAACAATATATATTTCAAAAAATTGAACATTCAAATTTTAATTGGCGGGCAGACCCATTTTCTGTCTAATCAAAAATTCTGGATACCGTTTGCCCTTCCAGTATCTTGGAATTACAACTTCATGTAGTTTATCTAATTTCTTCTCAACGTAGTCGTCGGCACAGAAGGATTCTGCATCTTTGCATTGCTGAATGAGGACTCTTTGGAATGCCTTTTCTTTTTTAAGTTCTCTATTTTGTTTAAGCTAAAGAAAATGAGTGTTACTGTCATATAAGATAATAATTATTGAGAATGAAAATCGTATAAAGTTGAACTTGGATGGTAGGTACCTTGTCTCCAAAAATTATCTGATAATTCTCTGGCTTCTCTTTTACACTAAATAAAAGGAAGTTATAGGTACTTACTTTTGCCCATTCATATTTCATCTTCTTTTTCAACTTTCTCAATTTATGCCTTTTCATTTTCTTCCTTCTAATGACAATCATTCTGATAGCTTCTCTTGGGGTATCAGCTGTTTGTGTTGAAGGAACTATAATCTCTGTTGATATTTTAATAGGGTCAATCAGTGGTGGTACCCATGTTAGACCATTAGGTAATTCTATTTTGTTACTCGAATTTTTAGGAGATATTATTTTATCATTTTGATTGTAAATCCAAGAATTCAGTGCGGGTATAAAATGTATCCGTGGTAATCTTGGTATTTGTTGTTGGGTGCTCAGACATTTTCTAATTATCGGATTCAAAGCTTCAAAAAATATTCGTTTTTAAATTGAATTGATCTGATATAAGTAAATGCTTACCTTTTATCGAATTTGCGTTAAATATTCTAAATAAAAACATTTTTTCACAAAGACAGCTAGACTTGGTTAGGAAGTGATATAGTGACATTTGTCAATGTTAGGCGAGTCTTTGCGTAGCCAGGTTACGAGGTTATGAAGGCGATAAAGGGCCGGTTTCTCAATAGCGAGTCTCCTCCGGGTTGGTGTTAACTCCAGGGTAAGCGTGTCCAGTTGCTATGTTTACCCTGGAGTTATGCCTAACACGGGAGTGACTTGCTGTAGAAACCTTCCCAAAATGCGATACAAATTAGTTTCTAGAAGAGTTCGGTTAATTTTCCGCGAGAAAAAAAAAAGACAAGCCCACGTGATCGGCTCTATAATTTTGAATGAAAAAGTATGTGGACGTCTGTCATCTTTTGGCTCGCGGAGGATTAACCGAACCCAAAATTAAATATAAATATTCAAGTTAAAATTTTGAACGAAAGGTTGGTAGCAGCCAGTTTTTGAGGTTATTGAATTGAGAAACATGAATATTTGAGCTACTAACCAAAAAAGTTAGAAAATGACATGATAATATACGTCATGGTTTGACTGAACAATATGTCACAAAAGTTTGATTGTTCTATTTTCGATTGGTTCGACTACCATGGTAGTCACGCCTTCTAGATATTTTTCTAGGTAAGCCATTGCGATCGTCTCACTTGGTTTCACGATAACCTAAAATTCGAATGGCGTTAGCAATGATTCTAACTTGATGGTCCCAATTTGAAGGTGAAGAGAACAGTGGGGGCGTACTGCTGATCTCGATGCCCCTTTGTCTTCTGAAAGAGAATGCCGCCTACAATAATTTAGGCTTATTGTCCTCTGCTGTAACTGTATTTAGTATACTAGATCTTGAATCCTTTTTTCAACTTGACCATACTAAATTCCTGCAACGTCTCCGATGGATCTTGCACTCTGCGCTTCAGCTCTGATTCGTTTATTTTGGTGCCCCTTTTCTCAATCTTCATCTCCAGTTTTCTATATTTCCTTTCCAATTCGTCGCCGTCCGTCCCTATTTCGCATTTGACTGTTCTTATTTTGCATTTGACTTATTCGGTGACGATTTCTACTATTTTGTCTTTGGCTTCTTGTCGAGTGTTCTGGAACAATGTAGCGATACTGACAGTATCTTTCTGTCTTTGTTTCCATTCTTCCAGTTTTCCTTTCTATCGTCATTCTTTTTGGTATTTCAAACTTTTTTGGGATAATTGGACACTTACCTTTTGTTTGGCAGGAATATTTTCTTCCATCAGGAGCCTTAATTCCCCGCCAATCAGGCTATTTCCTGAAATTGTGCATTGCGTAGTCACAGGATAATGCTCACTCGAAGAGTTATTTTATTTTAATTGATTCGCTCTGGAGTTGAAAGAGGTATGTCCTCACTCACAAAATTCTGTTTTTAAAAATGATTTAAAAAAAAACTACAAGTAATCTTATCTGTAGTAAAGTTTATTGACGCAGGACAATTTTTATAATGCTTAGGTTGATTATGGATAACGTTGAACAGTTGGCTATTTCATATATTTTCAACTCTAATGATTTTTTTGTTCTATTGTTAACATAGTTGAAGTATTGGAAAAAAATTCAATGAATCACCTAGAACTGGAAAAAAATTCAAGTCAAAATAATCACTAGTTTTACGTAACGTGTACCCCAAAAGGCCGGTTTCTCAATAGCTAGTCACCCTCGGGTTGGTTTTAGCTCCAGGGTGAACGTGTAAAATTACAATATTTACTTTTAATTTGGAGGTGACCTGCTATTAGGAAACCGGCCCAAAGTCATCTGTTATTGGACTAAAGATATTAGCTTCGCTAGTCCAAATTAGGCTAAATATATTTTTGACAGTATTGCAGTCATAAATTTACATTGAAACATAAATATTCCTAGTTTTGATCTTGCAAAAATATAAAAAAGGATTTTTGCATATTTAAAAGCTTTGTTGAATGTTATCTTATCGCTATATATCCTATCTAGCATGAAATAAATTTCTCGAGATGACACAAAAAGATATTAGAAAAGAATCTGTTAACCAATTTCAAGCAAAAAAAGTAAAAATCTAAATAATATTTCAAGGTTTTATTTTCAATCTGTATTTATATAGAGATTTATATTTAATGTGCTCTGTCCATCCCTCTTTATATATTTTTTCATGACATTCCTAATTACCTTCGAGTCAACATTTTCAACGTAGTTGCCTCCCAAAGTATTATTAATAAAAGATTCTTTTTTTATAGCGGTCAACGCAGTCACAAATCCACTTACGATTTTATTGTCCTTTTTCTAAAATGAAGCAAGACATTTTACGAGCTTTTTATAGGGCTACAAATGAGAGAAAAGGTCAGGATAATGAGATTTTCGTTCACGCACTTTGAAGTTCTCTTTTTGTGGAACGTATATGTCTCAGCTTATCATAGGATAGAAACCGGAGACAGGTATATTATGATAGAATTATGAGTATAGTTTTCAGGAAAAAAAAATGTCATATTGATAATAAAAGCGGCTTGCTATCAATTTTTATGCTTCGCAAGAAAATTGGGTGCAAATGTATCTATGACAAAAGCATGGTGTAGTAGGTACTGTGTGGCTATGTTCTCTTGCCTAGGAAAATTTCAATGTATGCCTACCTACTGAAAGTTTCACGATGGAAGCAAGCCGTTAAAGTTTTATAATAATCTCAGTCCTGTACTGACAGTACTCAGGAGTTCGTTTGTGATATAATAGAAGAATAGGTTACTCAGGTACACGTAACAGCGTCTAATTAGTAAGAACAATTGAAAATTATTTTTTTTATAAATACTAATTCAGCTGATAGATGTTCTAGAACGGCTGGAGGAGTCATTTCATCACATTGAAATGATCCCAGGGTAAGGCTTTCCAGGCCCTCACAAGAACTTTGAGGAGGAAATGCAAACCGAGATTTTATGGAATATTTTATGGAATCAGCTCATTCCCGAAAAGCCCGAATTCCAGTGAAAATCTTAAATAAACACGATTTAATAAACAACTTGAGGAATTTCCATCCAAAATGCTGATAAACCTATTATGCTGGCCTGTAGATGATTTTAATTTCCTTGGTTATTCCGGAATGATGCGAGTGCCAAATCAAGGAAAACTATTCCAGTAGTAGATATTTTATCAGCGTCACATCAACCTTAACTGTTGACGCAGTTCTCACCTGTTTCAAACTTCTCATAACCTAATGGCTTGGTATCCGTGCGTTTTTTGATGTGGTAGTTACAACTTACAGTGCAGTTGAATGTGACACTTGCAAAGCTAAATTTAAACGAAAGAGCAATTTGAAAAGTCACAAACTGACACACTCGGATATTTAGGCTTTCGAATGTGAAACATGGAACGCAAAATTTAAACGAGAAACCGAATTGAAAATTCACAAACTAACACATTCGGATATTCGTCCTTTTAAATGTGACACTTGCAAAGCAAAATTTAAACGAAAAAGCGCTTTGACGAATCACAAACTAACACATTCGGATATTTATAGTTTTGAATGTGACACTTGCAAAGCAAAATTTAAACGAAAAGGCGATTTGAAAAATCACAAACTGACACACTCGCATATTTATAATTTTGAATCTGACATTTGTAGAGCAAAATTTAGACAAAAAGGCAATACGAAAACACATATGCATTCGGATAAAAAAAAAATTAAATTTCAACATTCAACTCCGAAATCAATACTTGTGATAATTTAAAATAACATTGAGTGACGCATTCAGCTAAATAAGTGTAAGTTTGAATTTAATCTTTGCTCTGTAAAATTTAAACGTGAAGACAAGAAAACCTGATGAAGTGCTTGATGAAATACGAATCGTCACTGAAAGTTATAAATAAAGATACTGGCTTTCCGGACAGATAAACAAAATTACTTTTGTCTTCAAAAATTCCAACATTCCAACTTTCTTAGGCCCGTTCCAATGCTACAAAGGAAATATAATGATGTTTACAACATCAATTTGTTTGCGTTCAAACTGCCAGGATAGGTAATGGATTACTTTTGTAGTAGCTTCGCCTTTTGCTTTGATACCAATTTAGGGACTAGAACCAACCGCTTCACAAAAAAGCATCACATCAAGAAGAATTAAGTTGTTCTAGCATGTTCATATTCAATAATAATTACCATCATTTGAAAATCAACTTAAGTAATACAACGCCAAACTCTGGAAATGGGTCGGAATTCCCGAAACATTCCTTTTCGTATCTGTCTCTGAATTGACACAAGTTGTTCGAAACCAACAAACTGTTAGGCTCTTACAGAAACAAATTAAAGAAAGGTGTTACTTTTTTCGCTTCCAAGTGCATTTGGTACCTATGCAATAGGGTACTTGCATGAAAAATTAAATTGATTATTCTTTATTGCAATCGAGGAAGTCGTAGGAAATCGAAAAAAAATTGATGCGTATTTTTTTATTTTGCCCAAATATGATTATTTCGGAAGTTATACAAATATTGAGTTTTGTATATATAGATATGTATACTGAGCATGTGCAACGTCACTAATTTATATGATAAGTGACGTCATAGGCATATTTCATAGCGTTGTATCTCCATCAATTTTTGACTAAGAAGAAAAAAAAAAACACGTGTTTACTTATTTTTCATGGACCATCAAAATCAGCAATAAAAAAGGGGCCTATTGGCAAATTTGTTACTGTACACAATCCTCTTTCAAACCCTCATCGTGTACCTATTTTTAGGTGCTCATGCATAACTCTTCAAAATATGATACACATTTCAATAATCGTTTTATTTTTCTTTTCAAAAAGATTCTCTACGGACTTTCACATAAAATTAATCATTAGAATATGGGATCCACTTAAACCCTAACTAGATTAATAGTAAAGACTAAAAGAGGAATTTATAGAGATATTATGGCATATTAAGGGATAAAATCGAACACGGACTCGGGCCATTCCGGCCATTAAATTTGATTGCATTATAAAAGTAATCCGTCGGCAGTATATCACTGAAAACAGGGTCCCGTGAACACGATAATGTGTTCTGACCATAGATTTCAATTAGGTGTACGATATATTTATCGAGCCGTTATGCAAATGGCGTTTTTGGTTAAAATTAGATAAACTCCACTCCATATGTGGTTCATTATAATTAAAATATATTGAATGAGAATGTT